CTGTACGGCGAGGCGAGCTCCTGTCACTGATGCAGAATCTCACAGGAGAGCCTTGTATCGAATCGACACCTTCGCGCGGCACCTCCGATTAATCACGTGGGTGCCAAACGATTGTCACCGTCTTCCTGTATCTCCCGATCGTTTTACGTTTCAAACTTAATTTAATTATCTTGTTCCGAGATTATTTTAACGTCTCTCGACACGACGGGAGTGGCAGATCGATCACCTCTCGCTGTCTACACGAAGACATGCTCCGAGACGAAACGCTCTGAACAGAGAAGAGCGACGATGAAGCGAGAGAGCGCAGCTCCGTAAAATCGATCGCTTCTCCCGATGGGCGATGCTGCAAAGCTACGTACACCAACCACAAACTCAAGCTCACTTGACGGCTCACGGCCGACTGATAGCCATCGCCGTCGTTCGCGCGTACGGCAGTGTACGGAGCACGAGGATGCGAGTTGCGACCTCCACATCCCTCCTTCGCGGGAGAGCGACCGGCGCGGCGATCCAATGCTCTTGCATATAGGTATATTCGTTCGAATATCAAACGAATGCTTTCGAAATCCGAATAGTGCTCGGACGACGAATGGATAATCGACCGAATATTTGAAAACAATTCGAGGTAATCGAGATAATAAATAATAGAGACTAAAATCCGCACGATTTATATAGCCGTTTTCCAAGCTTTTCTCCTGGCGAAACCAAACGTCGCATTGGATTGCGGTGTCTTTCAGAGCATTACGTTCAATTTTTACCGTAAAAGCAACGCAAGTCGCGCCAAAGCGCGCGCGCATAGAGTGCCTTAAGGCTGATATTTCACGTAGCGTCGACAAAATTTTTCAAGCCTATTGATTGGATAAATAGGTTCTCGGATCTTTCCATGCTATAGCCAATCGACACGCTTGTAAAGTTTGTTGTACATATGTGCGACACATAAAATATCAACCTTAAGGGAGCGTTTATATTGGCCGTAATAATCTGTAATGGTTACTGCACACTGGACGCGATGAGCGATATCCAATGAGAGGTTTGCTTTGCGTCGTCACGTGAGAAAAAGCAGAATTTTTATTGGATATCGCTCGTCGCTCATCGCTCATCGCGTCCAGTGTGCAGTAGCCATAAGGCGTCGTCTACAATACACGGAGTAAGAAGTAAGAGTAAGAAGTTGACCACAGTCGAATGTGAGAAGAATAATCGACTGTGATTGGTCAATTTCTTACTCTTACTTCTTACTCCGTGTATTGTAGACGGGCCTCAGAATTGATTAATCACAGTCAAGTGTTCCCTTCTCATTCGACTATAGGAAGAGAATACTCGAAGGTGATTGGTCAATTTTTACAGATTACGACATACGGCATACGTCCTATAAGCGTATATTATTTAATATTAAGTAATATTTTAAGCATATTCTTAGAATATTAAATGTAAAAAAAATTTTAAGAATATTTTACTAAAATTATATAATATTAAATAATATTCTCGAAATATTAATGGATAGTTATATGTCCACTCCTGATAATGTTATATTATTATTAAAAGTAACATTGTTTAATGTTACTGTAATATTGTTTAAACAATAAAAAGTATTATAATAGCATTTACTTTAATTTATACGTTTAAAGACTGAAAATGATTTTAACGCGCAGTTGTAGTACCTACTGAATATGTACTTAAAATCACGCCGAAACATTTTTTTAGCACAAGATGCAGCATAGACTGATAAGAATTTTTCGTTACTGGATTGTGAAATCAAATTTCACTAGATTAAAAATAGTTAATATTTTAATATGTCAGGGATATTAAATATTCAATACCAAGGATATTATGTGTAAGTGGATATATAACCTCTATAGAATACTCTCGTAATATTAAAAATTATTATATGTTATTCTCAAAATATTATAACTTATTTTAATTTTTAATAATATCCATATAACATTCTAGGAATATTTTACATTTATAGGGCAGTTACGGCCAATATAAACGCTCCCTAAAGCAGAAATCACAAACTCTTGCATAACATATAACACGTAATACATAAGAAAATGTACCAATCAACGCCCTTCGTTTCTTTTCTTTCTATGAAATACAGAATTCAGATTGGTTGAATTTCTTATGCATTACGTGTTATGCAGTATGTAAGAGTCTGTATTCCCCGTCTTTCATTTTATAGAAAGGAAGAAAATGAAGGATTTTAATTAGTTTATTTTCTTATGCATTATGCGTTATGCAGACCTTGTGCTTCTGTCCTTAGGATCAGCTGTACAGTCATTGCAAAAAATTTGGAATTGGAAATATATCAATATTTATACTTTCTGTATAAAAATGAATACTAAAATTATATACATAACAACTGTGTATGAACGTCATATATTTATTTAACAACATACTTTTTAATTTATTTTCTGCATGTGCTATTATTTTTATTGAAGCAATAATTTTACTTCAAAAATTATATGCAATCTAAGAAGTCGCAATAAATTTCAGTAATAATTATAAGATATTTATATATTGTGTGTGTGTGCATTTTATCGCGTGATATACCAACGCTTATAGCTGTGTTTTTCTATATACATATTTCTTTATTATATTGTTCGATATGTTTCAAAAATCAACAATTTCAATTCTTTTGTACAAAGTACTTTAATAATTATAATTATTTACGCAAAATTTTTTTACGATTTTTAAATAGTAAAAAACATGAATAAAGTAGAAGAACAAAATCTAATATAATAATGTTTTTTTCCGTTTTAATCTTATTTTTATATATGAGACATAACGTTTGCAAAGTATAAGTTATTTCATTTTTTGTTTATACTGATATAGAGAGAAATAATTTATATACGTATTGTATACATAACAATAATGACATATTTCTACAATTTCTTGAAAAATTCTGCGCGTTTCTTTACTTTTGTGTCAGCCATTTTGCTTAAACAATATACGAAGAAATATCTCAGAAATAATTTAAACTGCACTGTGTTAAAGTATTTCTTTCTAAAAGAGTTGAATACATTGACTAAATGTTACTTTTCTTTAGTGTTGAAATGACATATAGTTATAGCGTTTATTTTCATTAAATTATCTATGAGATACCATCATTATAATTACTACTTATAGTTTGTAAGGTTGCAAGGTTGAGAACGGAATCATTAATCTAATTACGTTAATTCATATTGTTTATCGCGCGCTCTTACTTTGACCCAAAGTCCACCTTGTGCTCTGATGGTCAATCGAAATTTGGCTATCACTTTCTCCTTGCCAAGGGTTGGCTCTAATTGGCACTTCCTCAGAATAGCACTGATAATTGATTTTATTTCAAGAATGGCAAATTTGTATCCTAAAAAGATACGAAAAAGGAATGATAAGTATCTTTCTCCAAAAAAAATTAATAAATCTTATGATCTATGTATTATGATCTATGTAAATTAATAAATCTTATGATATATTGAAAAAGCTTTTAAAAAAAAATATACATATATATATATATATATATATATATATATAAACGTCAGTTTTCTTTATAAAACAGAACCTTAGTCTTCGTCTACAATAAATTAGAAATCAAAAGCTAGAAATTGATCAATCACAGTCGAATGTGAGAAGAATAATTGACTATAATTGTAATTTTTTTATAATATATTGTAGAATGTGTGTCTTCTTTTTAATACTTCTCTCATGCATGTATCTTATGATTAATTTATATTTGCTATTCTTACCGATACAATTGCGAGGTCCTGCACTAAACGGTATGTAGGCATATGGATGTCTTCCCTCGGAATTTTCAGAGCTAAAACGTTCCGGTTTGAAATCGTGAGGATCAGGAAAATGATGAGATAAGCGGTGCGTGGAGTATGGCGCTATAAATACGCCACAACCGGCCGGTATTATATATTTTCCTGCATGATACAAAGTGATATTGTAATAACGTTTTTCAAGAATGATTTAGAGCAATATTTTTATGTATATATAATGTATATAATTATATTATTTTTATCATATCTTTATTAGACGTCTAGATCATAGATATCTTTATTAGTTCTATTTATTACACTAAATATTCAGGAATAATATTGAAGATATGTATTATCTACGGAACAATACTGAACAATTTATATTATATATATTTTACATATTCTAATTAAAACATAATTGTAAATAATTAAATGATACAGTTGTAAATTTCGAAAAAATTGTAAAAGTAAATGTTATTCGCAGAATTAGATCGTAAAACCATACCTATTATCGTGGAAAAAATTCTGACAACTACAAATTAAACTGCCTACATTTAAAATTCTTTTTGTAAATTTTGTCAATTTGTGAATTATGTTAAGAAATTGTGCTAACTCTTTTTCAATTACAAATAATTGTAAATTAACTAAAGGATAAACATAACTTCATTGATCATTTTACACATTTTGACAAATGGATGAACATAGTCCACACATTTTTGTTAATTTACGCATGACTATTATACAAGCGAAGACCTTTCTATCTATTGCGGCTTGCGTCTAAGTTCTGGTAACATCTTAACAAAATTTACGATCGAATTAATATTGATTTTACTGAAATTAATAAGAGCAAATTAATAATAATTTAAATTTTACATTTCTAATTACCATATAATATTTATCCGAAATTAATAATTAATAATTATTCTTTTGTTAACATTAATAATGATCTGATAGAGGTCGAAACGTCTGTTTATTGTTTTATTAAATTCACTGTTTAAATTTTAGCAATAAATATCTAGCCTGGCTTATAGTTCTTTATTATTAAGTTTGATTTTTATCATAACAGGTTTTTCTCTCTAAAAAAATTTTACCTAGTTTCACATCTTCTCCGAGAATTCTAGCAAAAAATGGCACACTAGGATGCAATCGCAGAGATTCCTTTATACACATATCTAAACATGTCATCTTCTTAAGATCCTGCATAGT